TCCTCCTCTCCTCCTCTCTCTCTCTCTCTCTCTCTCTAGAGTTGTTCATCCATCAATAGGTCACTAATTGACCACCAAACATATGATTGCTTATCAGTGTTTAAAAAATTGGATCGGTGGCTCGAATAAGTCACATCCATACCCTCGTAGGATCGGGACATCAATGGATCGGATCAGAAGAATAGGTGAAATTGGTAAATTTTTTCTAATTTTTTTTAAAAAAAATTAATTGAAGAAAAAACTATTCAACATTTTTTTCCACTTGATGCGGTGAAGAATCAGTCAGAGTCGGTGAAGAATCGGTCGAACTTGGTGAAAAATCATCGAAATCGAGGAGTACTATTATGAATTGACTGAATCTCGGTTTTTACCGATCCGAATGGTCATGGCCATTCCTGATCCAGATCGTTGACAAATAGAGAAGTGTATCTTTCTCATTACTTTGGAAAAAACTCATATACTTATGCAAGTGTTTGAGCGAGTATATGCGTTATAACCTTCAAAATATGAATTAGTTATCCTATATAACAAACTCATTCAAATTACAAAGAGTCTTATCATCATCCTACTTACAAAGAGATAAACATTATCAAATCTTGCTAACACTCCCCCTCAAACTGACAGGGGTGTAACAACATCAATTTTCCTATCGAATAATTGTAGCGCCTTTTAGACAATGTTTTAGTGAAAATATCAGCAATCTGATCTTTGGAAGGAATATGAGATAGTGATATATCTCCTCGTTCAAATTTTTCTCGTACAAAATGGCAATCTACCTCAATATGCTTTGTTCGTTCATAAAAAACCAGGTCGGTAGCAATCTTCGGTGCGCTTTCATTGTCACAAAATAGGGGAGTAGGGGAAACAATAGTAATGCCAAGATCTGCCAAAGGCGCCTCAAACAGATAATTTCACCACATGTACAAGACATAGCCCGATATTATGACTCTGTAGAAGACTTTGATATTATAAGTTGTTGCTTAGATTTCCAAGAGATTAGGGAAATGCCAAAAAAAAACACAATAACCGAAAGACACAATAACCGATAGTGGAACAATGTGTGTCGGAGATTTCGTATCAGGTCACCAATTCGTCACCAAGTTTTAAAGCATTGCGTCTTAT